TATATATATATATATATATATATATATATAAGGTTTAGAATAACAACAAAAAGGGATGTTTAACTAATCAAAAAAACACCAATATGAACTCTATAATCGCATGCAACGCTCACCCTTTGGGGTCGATTTCAATGATATTCATCCTCTGCAATTGTTGTAGTATGTGACGAGGAGCAATCGCTCCGCTGTTCTTACAGAAATGTGGTGGCCTGATTCCGTTCCTCTTACGGCCTCAGTAGATCTTTTGGAAACCACCTACTTCAATCCAATGCCTTGCCTCAAGTATATATTCCCTGCCATTGACGCTACAAATGTGAAACTCTATAAATAATGATATAACCCTTTCTTTAAATCAATCAGTTAATCAATGAAATGTTATTCCACTTTGTGGACAAACCCTAGGAGGTCAATCCCCTCAAAGCGATCAAGGAGGCCGATCCTCTCGAAACGATCATTATCATTTCTTTTTCTCCCCTTTCTTTCATGATAAGACCTTAAGGTCTTATCAATTGGTATCAGAGCTCTTCCTACTTTTACGATAAGACCTTAGAGTCTTATCATTTGGTATTAGAGTATTTTACGATAAGACTTTAGGGTCTTAACATTTGGTATCAGAGCTCTTCCTTCTTTTACGATAAGACCTTAGGGTCTTATCATTTAGTATCATAGCATTTTACAATAATACTTTAGGGCCTTAACATTTGATATTTGATATCAGAGTAATGATCCTTAGCGTTCTCGTTGCGGTGTTGCCGTAGCTATCAAAATAAAAATAAAAATTATGTGAGGAAGGGTGAAGCCGGCAGCCACGAACGTCGATCCTTCTCAACCGAGAAGGAACCTCTCGTCTTGGTCAGCGACCATCATTGCCCCTTCTCCATCGCCATCGCTACTGCCCAGCCAGCAGCCGCCACCACCGCCGCTACCCCCTTCTACAGTTATCTTCATCTTCAGATAAAAAGAAGAAGAAGAAGAAGAAGCCACAACCACCCCTGCTTCCCCTGCCGGACCCCTGCTTCCGGCCAGCCCACCCACCGTCACTGCTTCCCGGCCGAGGGACCACCACTGCTGTCGCTGTTGCCCAGCCAGCAGCCACCGTCGTCGCCGCTGCCCCTACCCGGCCAGCGACCTCTCCTCCTCGCTTCCCCATCTCATTCGAGCGAGAAGGACTGCCGGTGCCGTTTCCCAGCCAGCGGATCACCCCATCGCCGCTTATACCGTCGGCGATGCTACCCTAGTCCACCATCGTGCCACCCACCCCCCCTTGGGTTGCATCTGTAGTCGCTGGTTGTCGCAGCCCTTCCTTGTAGCGGTTGTAGAAACAGAGCTTCCTCTGTTGCCGCAACCCCTCGTCGATCCCAGCCAACAGACCATCACATCGTCGCTTCTACCATCGGTGACGCTTCTCTAGTATGCCATCATGCTGCCTAGAGAAATCCCATCGGTGACGCTTCTACCATCGGCGACGCTTCTCTAGTCCGCCATCCCATCGCCGCTTCTTCTGTTTACGCACTAATCTTTACACGATGATGAAACCCTTTTTTTTGGTACAAAATTCTATGATTTTTTTTTTCTTTCACTAAGTATGTGATATCGCTCTAGATTTACTAACACAATCATCGTGCGTGGCTTCGTCCACTAGTATGTTGCATTAGTATGTTGCATCTCCATGATCACTGCGGACGTCTTTCTATACCATTTATCAAGTTGGCAATGTCATCCCTAAGTCCACCACGTCTTCAACAAAGATCATGACATCCTCATCCACCACATCATTAAGGTGGTCGTTATACCTAAGCATTTGATGTCATGCATTCGACAAGACTCGATATGCTCACATATCTCTTATTATCACATATGTCATGTATTCAACTGTTCAAGTCGACACAATAATGTCAACGCTTGCATCCTACGTTTGACACCATCGACACACATGGTTCAAACCAACAAGCTTTGATACACTCATATGTCTCATGCACCTCACATCGCTTATATCTTACAATCGGCATGCATCAATACTTTTGTATATCTCATATGTAAATCATAATTAACCAATCAAGATTCAACACATGATGCTTAGTCGGCGATGAGAGCCCCCTTAGGTGATGATGTGGGTCACTTAGGCCCATCTAGTTAGGTAGATGATGATATAGTCTTATAAAAACATATACAATCGTATGATATCTAAAAAGAAAGGATTATTCATCTTTGAGAGGAGTGCCTCTCCAAGTATTCATTCATCTCTGTACACCTATAAAGTCTCGAAACCGGCCTACTTCTTTGTTGACAGGTCCTTTTGGCTTCATGATTTCATGACTTCTTTGTTGACTTCATGATTTCATGATTACATAATTTTGTAGGGTCCTTTTGGCTTTGATTTCATGACTTCTTTATTGATTTCATGATTACATAATTTTCTAGGGTCCTTTGGCTCAAGATTTTGTAGGTTCCTCACAGCAGATAGATCCATATTATGACATTTTTTGGATTGATTTACACTGACCCAAAAAAAAATATTATGGATTATTATAGAAATATCTAAAATATTCTCTCTTGGATATGTAACTCGACGTCTTAAACTCCATAAATATTAAATCGATACAACAAACATAAAAAATTATTTTTTATCTCCTCATCTTCAATGTTCGGATCGTCTCATTTGATTATTAATTTATTTTTTACATTACACTTATGTAAAAAAATATCTTATGAATATTTTTTACATAGCAAAATGTGATTTCTATTGGTGATCTTCATTTTTATATTTAATATATTTATTTTAAATTTTTTAATAATCCTAAAATATCTTTTTTGCAAAAGAACATAAATAATCGCATTGTCTCTTTCTAATCGCGAGCGACCAAAGAGATGTTAAAAAAAGGGATGTGAAAAATAAAATGATAAGATCGGTAATCGATGGGTTATAAATAATAAAATTATTATTTTTGGGATTCCCAATATGGGTTGTCAATAGATAGAGAGTTAGGCTCAACCTTATGTAGAAATGAGCCTCTCGTTGGTGGAGATATATATATATATATATATATATATATATATATATATATATATATATATATATATATATATTGTTAGAAAGAGTAAATAATAGAGACAAGAATTCCAACTTAGAATCTTACAATATATTAATTATCAAAGACAGACGGACTTTACACCCTTTGACCGTTCATCTCTTCCACGATGCGCTTCATGTTCTTGTAGGAAGACCCTCCTTCACCCACACTCTTGCGAGCTATGTCTTTCCACATCATCGCCCTCGCCTTGATTCCCTCGTCCCCGAGCAACTCTTCCAGCTTCACTCGGATCTGCTCCCGTGAGATTTCTGTCCCTTCGTCATCAGCGTTCAGGCTCAATCCAATCTTCCAAACATCACAGATGTAGACCTGGTCGAGGAACTGGTCGGTGAAGTATGGCCAGCAGAGGAATGGAACCCCGTTCCACACTCCTTCCATGGTGGAGTTCCAACCACAGTGAGACAGGAAGCAGGCGATGGAAGGGTGAGCCAGTATCTGCTGCTGCGGCGACCAGCTCACCATCTTCCCTCGGCCGGCGGTTCGTTCCCGGAAGCTATCTAACCAAGCAACGCTCGCCTCGCTTGCCAGATCCGGTCTCACGACCCACAGGAACGGCCGGCGAGAGAGCTCGAGCCCGAGCGCGAGCTCTTGGAGCTGGCGGTAGTCGAACACCGTGAAGCTCCCGAAGGCGACGTAGATGACGGAGTTGGCAGGCTGCTCGTCGAGCCACTTCACGCAGGTCGTGTCCTCGGGCCAGAAATGCCCCATGGGCTTGTGATCGAGTCTTTGGCGCGAAATCAGAGGTCCCACGGGCAGGATATTGGGGAAGAGGGCGAAGACGGGTGACTCCATCTCGTGGACTGTGTTACAGATGATGAATTCAGCAAGCTCGAGCAGGCGGTTGCTGTTGACGACTAGCTGGAAGATGATCTTTTGGCCTTGGGCATCACCAGCACAGTTCCAGGCGAACTGAGTCGTGCTGACGGATGGCATGCCAGGGCTCAGCTGGTACTTGCCATGCCTCCTTGGGAGCCCTGCAAGAGACTCAGATCATGGTCTTCGTCCAAACTAACAGCGAAGAAGAAGAAGAAGAAGATGTATACCATCGGCACCAAGGATGCCCTCTCGGATCATCTTGGGAATGCTCATCATCGTCGCGAGCATGGCTGCAGATGCGGTCCAGTAACAGGCTGCTCTGATCCCCATCTTCTTGGCCACCTCCAAAGCCCACGCCATGTTCTCATCGGCGATCATCCATCCGATCCCGTCTCCTTCTCCTCCACCGGACTGGTTGATGCTTGTTATGAGCTCCTCGAGGCACCCGGGCATGACCCTCAAGTAGCCGTCCACAAGCTTCCCGAGATCGTTGCGGTCGTCGCCGGGAGCCAATCCATCTGGTATGGCGACCATGCGTATTCCTCCTTGTCCGGCAGCGTCACAACCCTTGTCGGACATGGCAGCCGCGATTCGGCCGTGGTTGAACTCGGTGTTGACGAACGTGATCCTGAAGCCCTGCTCGACCAAGCCGCGCGACAGCGACATGAAGGAGACGACATGGCCTTGGGCTGGGAAAGGCAAGACGAGCACTTGAGGAGGCGGGCTCATTGCTGCAGTGCCAAAGGTCAGGTTCGATATGGGATAAGATTTAAGCGAGTGAGAGAGCAGGTCGGAGTGGAGAAGGACGATGATGATGGCCTCCACTGTTTGGATCCACAATGAATGGCTCAGCGGTGGTAAAAAATGAAAGGCGTGCGTAGGTTGACTGATCCATGACTCTGTTTGGTACCGTGTCAGCGAAGCAGCTGGTAGGAACTCTCCCGGAAGGCATCCCGGATGATTCACTGTGTGATCTCAGCAGGGAGGCGGAGGAGGACAAGTAAAAGCCATCTCTGTCCCCAACATGTCCGTATTCTATACAAGTTGGGCACGTCTCCGAATCGAACGTGGATGTAGTCATCAACAGACCGTCACTAGCACGTTATATACATTAAAAAAACTTTAGAAAAGTGATTAGCATAAGAAAATTTCATTGAATACATTAAAACAATTTCGTCATCAACATACCATCGGTACATTATTTGCATTAAAAAAACGTTAGATCCAATATATGATAGCGATTGGCACAAGAAAATTTCATCACAATCTTGAATGCGTTAAAACAATTTCGTCATCAACATACCATCGGTACATTATTTGCATTAAAAAAACGTTAGATCCAATATATGATAGCGATTGGCATAAGAAAATTTCGTCACAATCTTGAAGAAAAAGTACTTACTCTTTCGGTGCTTGCCGTCATCGTCCCTCCTTAGGACGAGTGCTCATCCGGAGTCTCCCAACCTTAGGAACATGAGTTGATCACAAGCCACCGATAGATAGGTTTATCAAATAAATGATTTAACAATAATCACAAGAAATGCCTCAACATAAACAAAAACCACTTGACGAGATGCAGTGTGACCGTCGAGAACCTCGACCTCAGCTGCTCATTCCTCGTAGAACACTATGTATACTCTCGGCAGCATGGAACTAATACAACAGCCCAAGACAAATACCAGAACGAGATTGAATTTATAAGTTACAACTAAATAAAGATTAAATGTGTTTCTGTAAATAATTTTTACAAGGGGGATGGAGAGAGTAAGAATTCTAGCATGGATCTCTGCAGTAAAATTCCACAAAACGGGCACAGGGGTCGGCAAAAGTCGAGCTTCATCTCATCATCCGTGCCCGAAGGAGGCTCGGACATCATAAAAAAAGTTTGAGGCATCGTGTCCATGGCTGACCTGTGGCAACATATGCAAAACCACATTGGCGCTGCAACGGAGCAGAGCCGCATGGAAACTGCACACCTCGATAACCTATGCCTTTCTTTTGAACCGCTGCAGTCGAGCTTGTGACCCTCGCACCAGGCAACATCCACTGATTCAAATGGAACAGGGGTGGAGCAGAAGCTGCAACTCTCCTCTTTTACATATTCACAGATAGAACTGATCCTGGAAGGAGAAAGATAATGAGAATTGTACTGATGGTAACTAGGCTGTACAAGAGTGTTTTTACATATAGAAGGCGTTCAGATACCTGCTTCCGAGACCCCTAAGTTCAGATCCAAGAATGTTTAGCTGATTGTGCACCAGCCCAGCATTTAGGAGAACCCAGCACTCCATTTGTGCCACTCCAACGGGGAACCATTTTTTACCAACTTGAAACGGATCAGATGAATCAGAGGCATGATTAAGAACAGCCCTGAAAGTAAATGACACAGCCCTTTGTTGCAGTTCCAATTCGTTGTTGACAAGCAAGTTACTCCATGGAGCAAGCTTCCCTTCATTTTTTGGTTCACTTGATTTGAGCTGTTCTCCATTGTGCATGTCAGCTTTGGCATCGCTTATCATTAATCTTCTACAGATAATGTTCAGAAGAAAAATTTTGCGAGAACTGATCTCTGAAAGCATGCTCACAACATGAAGCAAGATCTTATCGATGGAATCATCAGAAAGATGGCATGAAAACCAACCAGAGATCCATTTGAAGAGTAGATTTTCCACAAATGATGGACTGGACTTGTTAAATTCTAGTAATGCTGCAAGACTGTCCCATAGAACCAGTGGATTTTCTGCATCTTCAAAATACTGTAGGGACCATAAAATGTTGGATTCCCAACACGACAGGTCTCTCTCAGATAAAGCCAAAGTGGATTCACCAGTATTGTCTGGTGAAATTTCCAACGACTGCCCACCGGCCCAGAAAAACTCTATGACTGCTTTCTGGGTCCTGCATGTTACCAATAAGAAAATTTAGTCTAAAAACTTGTATAGTGATCTGCTGCCAAAAAATGCATCGGCTAAGCATACTATTAGCAATTGTTCATTCTTCTTATAAAGATATATTACCTTGCCTGATACATTTGGTGCAGAAGATTTACGTCAAAACTGCAAACCTGACATGGCACACTTCACGTTAAACATCTGCTTAAGTGCATATAAGGATGAAAATTATCACATACAAAATAAAATAAGAAATAAAATGAGAAAGTATCGTTAACTTGCAGGACGTCACATTTATTGTTAATATTGCAACAGGCCTGCATACGCCATTAATTGGAGTACGTTTTACCTCGCTATAAACAGTACATGAGATATATCTACAAACACTAGAACTTACCTCAATGGTGTACCCAAAAAAAGCTCACATCAAACACAATAAAATGGAAACAGATAAATGGATTATCAAGCAGAAAATAAAGTTTACAAAACCAAGTATAATGGCTAATATGCTCCATACGCAACAGAGCTGCAACTTCACTCCAATATAGCTAATTAACAATATAACAGACTGAATAATACATAACGATTCCAGAAAAGTCAAAAGTCCAAGTCAAAATTCTATGTAAACAACAAGCTTACCACAGCAATCATTAGTCCTCCAGGGGACAGTGCAAGACCAAAGCATTGATCAGATACTAGTGAAAGCTGCAAGAACAATATGTACTCCATTTTAGAAACAAAGGAGATCTGGCAGAAGAGGAAGAGAAGTACAAACTCATGGTCAGTTCCCTCCATACATTGGTAGAGTTTCTGAACCCAGGAAATTTTGAGGGGAAGGTGACTTTATGAAGATAGTCTCCATGCAACACCCAGCTCTGGACTGAATTATCCTGTTATCAGAAAACAAAAGTGACTTTTGAGATGTCCAATTGCTTCCTGAAAAAACAACTTAGCTACAAAATAAAACTAAAACTTATGAAAACTTTATCTACACAAGAATAGTGCGATGAAAAGAACAGTAAACCATCATTAGTCCACAAGTACAACAGAGATGCATAAAATTAACTCTCTCCCATACAGACATTAGGGGAAAACTTATGACGACAGGGTATACACCAAAAAAAGAAACATCAGAATGGCATGTTTAAATTTTAGATATAAAGGCATTGGTTTGCTTACAGCTGTGGTAGATATGTCTTTTACTTTTTCCAGAACTGTTTATCAAGTTTAAAAAACAAATGAACATGAAAAGAATATCAAAAGACAAATGCATGCATTTTTGACATATTAGTTCCTCATAATTATTTAACCAAGATCTAGCTGCAGATATATCAATAAAACTGGTTTCCAGGATGTTTCAAGACTGAAGATTCCTAGACAATTGACAAACCTAAGTAAGATGAACTCAAATCAGCAACCAACTCAGTATCTTGCATGCGTAAGACAGTGATATGGTGCTGTACAAATCATGAGGAATTTTTAAGATGGTCGCATTTCGGAGACTGAGGTAGAGATGTTCCTCGTGAAATGAAGATAAGGTTCCACTGCTACCGGACAAAATTGAAAGCAAATTCTGACTGAAAGTATTGAACATGGTCTGGTGATCTTTCCCTTGTGACATGCAAAAAGGCTCAACATGCAAGTGAGTCATAAAGAGGCTACCAACCAAATTGGTAATGCAGTTGAGGTGGCAGGACAAATCATCAATTGGTATCAAACTATTTCCAGGAGTTTGATAAAATTAGTGATAGGAATTGATTAACTGAACACAATAGGTGAGTGCCATAACATCAGATTGCAGTAATTAATTGTAATGAGAGAATTAGGAGATATGCATTCATTTGGATAAGGGCGGGGACACTATCATAGGTTTTATGCTAGAAGGTCATCAGCCATGGTATCTAATACCTTATCTTTGATTAAGTGTAACTTCCATTGATCCTCTGGACCCAAACTTCATGAAATACAAGAGCTTGACGGTTGATGAATACATGTCCTGAGCGGCAGGAACTGATGAAAGATGCAACCACTGGCTAGACTGATTATACACTTTGCCTAAGAGGCACTAGCCCAATTCTACACCTGTTGGCCTGAAGAATCATCAGGTTGACTTGACTTCCTGCTCGTGGATTAGGAAAATTGAACAAAAAAGAATTTGGACAGAACTTGATTTTGCAGACCAAAAATATCAATAAATGAGAAGCACATGAAGCTTGCATGAGTACATTTTACAGTTTTTGAGCATATTTATTACATGAATTATGTATTATTTAAAAGCAGACTTGGAACAATTTAAGTGGTCCAAAACTGACCTGGCTGCAACTGTACAAGCAACGACCACCAAATGCCCAAGCTAGACCTGTCACCTGTTGATTTAAAGGACATGTCAAATTCTGTTAGAACCATCACAAGACAAAGTGAGATAAATATACCACTTGGTCATGTGCATCATAGACACCAGCACTGTGAATTTTTTTGCCAAACACATTACATATCCATGCTTCAAGCGATCCAGATCCTTTCCCAATTGCTAAGACAATATTTTCTTGAGAATGTCTTGGCACAACCAGTGAAATTGTTGATATTGGGGCAGGAATGGCAACTGTCAACTAATAAGAAAACAATGAATTAAAATGATAAATTGATTTCAATTAGATATTTATCCGCTGTGCGGAAAAATCAAAACTAGCTCAAAATGTTTTACCTCATTTATTAAGGAAAAGGAAATTTTATTAGCCTCTGAAGAACTGGCCAAGTCTTCAACATCAGCTGACCATATCTTCACACTGAGGAAACAATGGTCTATTGTGACTGTTGCTGAAGAGAACCATCAACCATGTAACATATAACAGAGTAGGGATGACATAGTTAAAAGGGAAAATAGTCTTAGACAAGCCTTTTCTTCACACTCTATGATCTTCTACTAGTAGAAAAGATAATAGTCTTACACAAGTAATTGCTTCAGTACTCTATGATGTTCTATCATAGTACCAACTTTTAAATCCAGAGACATTTTTAGTTAGAATGTCAAATTACTCCACAATAATGTAAGACTAAGCTCCAATAGAACGTCACAAATGATAAGAACTGTCAAGCCACACCTCTTTTCTTAAAGTACTATCAGAACCTGTTCATGAACACATAGCTGAAATGACATGTTCATAAAGATATTGCAGAAATACAAGTATCTTTTTCCAGAAACGTTAAGGTTTCATTCAATACTCTACCTAAACATAGGATGGTTTTAGATTTTACGACATACTATCTTTACTAACTCAGTAACTGTACTATACTGATCTGATTACTTACACTATACCAATATACATATGATATCAATCTGCACCAACATACTTTACCATTTTGTGTTGGGAATGCAAAAGTGTTCAAACTGCTTCTGTCTTGATAATATTCGTAATAATGATTATTTAAACCAGCAGGTCACGAATTGCATCTTTCAAAGCTCAGGTATTGATTTAATTCTCAGAGCAGAAAACTGATAGGAACCACAACATCAACCAAATCAACCGCAAAACAAAGAGTTTAGTACACAACAAGAAAGAATAGAAGAGCTGCCACCACAAAAACATGAATAGATTACATGTCTTAAATAAATTTGCAATCAGCTGAGAACTGCACATTTCCAAAAAAATGTAACAAAGAAGGAATGCAGGATTTTTCTAACTCATAATGAGATTAACAAAACCCTTGACAATTCATACAGATAGTTCCAGCTGCCCTAGGTATACATCACCAGTGGATAAAGGAGCAAGCTGACATGCATAGACAAACTTGAGTGAATCTCAACAGTCTCACTTCTATGTATCAAGACATGGCAACAAAGTTCATTAAATAATAGGAAATGCTGAACAAATAACATGTATGACCTACAATAGTCAATTTAATGATCTGACCATATTAAATTGGACAAAAGAAAAAGAAAGCACATCCCCTTGTCATCAGGTTAGTTTCTGTTTCTGACATGAATACCACTTTAAAAGTCAGAAATACAAGTCTGGAATTAGCTTAACTGATCCAATGATGTATGTTAGGGAACATAAATTGCAATTCACAAACAAAACATCTCAATTTTATCAAAGACTTCCAGTTTAATCAGATTATATACCCTTCAATCACAAATCATACAAGACGATTAAAAAAATATGCATCAAAGACAGAACGAGCAATCCAACTGGCAATAGAATTAGAAACAAGAAAGAGACCATTGACCATATATGACCAGTATAGTAAAACCACCTTCCATCCGAACTTCCAGTGGCCAAGATCAACTGGGACATTCTCAGGCGTGCTGCAAGCATTTCCCAACTAATTGTAGTGATCCATGCGTTATGAGCCTGGATAAGTCCAACGAGCATTGGATCAACAGAAACTCTGCCATGCTCAATAGTGTAGCATTCCGGTTCACAGAGTTTCCAGAGAGAGATTTTACCAGACTTCCCCCCAACAGCAAGAATAGAGTATCTGTTGGAAAAGCCAGGCTGGATTCGAGATGACTGCAATACTGGTGACCAAGCTACAACGAGGCCTGATAACAAAGCACTACGAGAAGCATACTGCTCTGGGGTGATCATAGGGACATAATTTTGCCTTCCTTCTGGAAGCAGGCCTTCAGGTATTGGAGAAATCTGTTTGCTCACCATGGCATTATTGGAGCTGACCTCAATAACCTGAAACTAAATGTTATTACAAACAAACTTCATAGCAGGTAATAGGATTTCTGGCAGTATATAACAAGGCCTACTTAGTCCCTATAGGCATCAATTACAAAAGTATGTAATGGTTAAACACCTCCTCAGAAGAAACTTGATTGATGATGGAGCAAGGCCTAATGATAGATTCTGTACTAGCGGCAACAGGTTTATCAGTAACTGATAATGCTGTAAGGTCATCGCCACTATCATGCCATCCATCTTCATGAGAGTCCTCTCCATTTGCGCCATCGTTCAGTGCCTCTCCTAGTGATTTGTGGTGATTGATTCCCTTGCTTCTGCAAAGCATTAAAGTTCTAACATTGACAATCAAATTCCTATAAATGGCCTAACAGAAAATATGAAATAACTAGATATTAAGGAATCAACATATGAAGAATAAATTCCATGGGTTAGAAGGTTAAGAACTGTGGCAAAAGAAAATAAAGTTTTAAAATAGACTGTCAGGTGGTGTACATAATAAAAGGCTAAGTAATTGAGAACTAAAGGTTTAGATGATGTCAAGACAAAAAGAATTCACAAAAACACAGTGTAAAACAAAAAAAAACAATTTCTCTACTCCAAACAAGGTTCAGGTTCTAAATATTTGTTTAACACCAATTCGGATGACCAAATATACCAACCTACACCACTGGTACAATCATGAAATATGATAAAAAATGAAATACCTACTGGTACCAACCTATATAGTCCAACATCAGTCCTTGGTGGAACCTGCATATGCTCGAGTTGAATAGTTGCCGAATGTAATGGTTCATTTCAAGGTTTGCGATTTCGAATTGTCATACTGCCCGTACCGGGCAGTACGTACCGGTCCCCTTGATATAATGGCCTAACTGCGGCGAGGCTAAGGGAGAAGCGTCAAAGAAGGAAGAAGAAGGAGAGGGTGTTCGAAGAAGAGGGAGAATCGGGAGAACATCGGCGCGAACTTGTTTCCATGCCCGTTCTCGATCCCGATCCGATGCCACCCTCCCTCGACGATCCCGATCCAAGAGGTAACAACGAGGAGAGTCGTAAAGAGGAGGATCTGGAGGCGCAGGGATCAAGGGAGGCAGCGGCTAGAGCAGCAGAAGAGGCAGTCTCCTTCATCGCCTCGTCTACGACTCTGTGGCCTTTTTCTTCGTCACGTTCTTTGCTGAAGGCCGGAGACGTCTGCGGCCTTCGACGTCTTCGCCGAATGCCACAGATGAGGCGACGAGAAGAGAGGCAACGTCGTCGAGGCTGCATACGCCTTTTTTTTAATATTTTTATATATTTATTTTTATATTTTTTTATATAAAAATATATATTATATATGTTTATATATTAATTATATTTATTTATTTATTTAGGCATATCGCTTGGTACAATGTACCATATCGTACCGAGCAAAGCTCGATACACCGGTACGGTACAAAATTTCAAACCTTGATTCATTTTTTATTAGTAGCAGTTGCACAAATCCCTGATTTTATAGGTTTTAACGTGTGGCATCAAAGGTTAGCATTACATTGCACCTACATCAACTACTGGTATTCGAAACCTTGCCCTATGAATAAGCACAAATACAACAAATCATAAGACTGAGCAAAATGACAGCTCAAAAATGAGGATGCTGAGATGATTCCATCTATTAGATATTTAGATGAAGAATATGTAGCCAAAAATTGTTGCATGCAACAAGAACATCTTGTCTCATAAAAACCAGGTTATAACAATTAGTCATCAACCTAAGTACCTTACATAATTCTTCTATCATTGCTAATGCTAATGACATTCTTCAATTACAGTAAACCACTTGGTAAGGGCAGACTGTGAAATCAAAAAAGACAGATAACAGGAATATAAACATGAGCACAGTTCCGGAAGCAAGCCACAGTAAAGAAAGTCAGAAAAACGTTAACCTACTGACCATTCCATACTCTATAGCTATCATCTTTTGTCACTTCAACATAGAATTAGCAGCATTTTAAAGTCAAGCTGTTACACTTTTCTCAGAATCCTTCACTTGAGGAACTCTGATGTTATATTCGAGTTGATGCCATTCACATCCTTATGCACCAGCACCATTCTAGAGATTTATGGTGCAGCACCCTTCTATTTTGTTATAATTGTCCTCTCAATCATGTTATCCATTGTTACGAGTAATCTCACCCACAGGTATTAACTGCATTGAACACACCCTGGACTAATGGCATCCTGCATTCTACTTCAGTAACATAACTTAAACACCTACATGTAACATGTGAACCTTATTAGTTACAAGCCTACTTTAATTTCATGTGATGAAATTCTGTGTCCTCATACCATTAGCATAAGGTAATATAAAGTACACAACTGTATGTTTTTTTCATGTATTTGCTACAACGAAACTACATCCAAATCCAATTCTCATCTGTTTTATGAAAGTTGAGATACTACCCAACAATGTCAAAATGTCAAGTCCCAACTGAAAAAGGTATTTAATCCATGCATAAAAGTATCAAGACCATAAGTTGATTTTTCAGCTGCCGAAGGTAAAACAAGCATGACTGTATCTTCCTTTCATATTTCTGTTACAATGGAGACTACATCCATGTTCAATTCCTCACATATGTTTCCACACTATCAAACAATATTAAACTGTAATGTCCTAACTAAAATAGGTACAAGTCCATGGTCTCGAGATATGATGAAGTTTTGAGTTAGTCATTAGCAGCCTAACACAATCCTCCCTTGTTTCGGCATTAGTTAGTTGTTAGCCGTTTAACACAGCCCTCCTTTCCAGGCTCAAGACTGCAATGAAAAACATTTGACAATAAGCATGCACAAACATGGTTGTCCTTGTACATATTGGCAAGTTGGAAACTTCTCATAAAACTTTAAGTTTCTAAACACCAACTAATATGATGTCAGTAATAATGGACCTCTTTGACTGGAAGGCCCTTTATAAGCCACTCAGGTTTCTGTATCTGTTCCAACTGACTTCTGTCCCTTTCATCAGCTATAGCACTTGACAAGCATAAACAAGGTTCAATATAAAATACTCTTTAACTCTTAAGGGCAGCTAAACAGCTTCTCATTGATTTCTTTGTTTTGCAATTCATTATTTACATTGTTTCCACCATTATGTGCATTGATATTTGATATTTCTATGCATAAGGACTTGATTCTGTAGCCAGCACTTTGCATTCCTCAATTAATTATTCGATACCTTACGCACCATTTAGGCAAAAAAGCTTTCTCTATATTGTTTCCTAGTTAGCCTTGTACATATTTTGCACTCAAAATGGAAAATCTGTCACAGCGACTGTGCTCTACTCAATTATAACAAGACAAGAAAAGAATCCACATAACACCATACACTAAAAAGATCAAACAGGGATAGCTTCTCCAAACTGTTTCATGTGTACTGTATTCTACAAGGAACATGAGCAAAACATGAATATTCTCCAAGAATAGACTACAAGATTTCTTTGATTAACTCATCACTATGGATGGTGTTTCAAACTAGTCTCATAAACAAGAATGGACCATCAACTGAAACAATAGCAACAAAAACTTTTGCCGTGTACTACACTTCTATGGTACAACTCAATCATTCCTACTACACTTTACAAATTTACAATAGCCGAGGATCGTATGCAAGTTGAATCACTAGGTAAAAAGTAAAAACAGAAGAACCTAACAAGAAAAGAATTCATAATAATTATGTAATACCCTAGTTTTTAACTAGGGATATTTCTATAAATAAAGTTAAACAAAAGGGTATATTTAGGGTTAGGGTTAGCAACCTCCTCTTTATATAAATCCACCTCTCCTCTCAAATCTTTGTGGAGAGCTAGATTGGCTATAGAAAGAAGGCGATGACGATGGAAGGGCATAGCCTTCAAGGGAAATTAGTAGGAATCCTTAGATCCATATCATCCTCTACTTTTCCCTCCAGAAGCAATGGAGGGAAAAGTAGAAGATAAAGGAGAACAAAGGATCCCTACTAATTTCCTTCAATGACAATGCTTTTATCGTCATCCCCTCTTTTCTAAGCCGATCTAGCTCTCCAAAATAATTCGAGAGGAGAGTATGGATGTATATATATAGAGGAGATGGTAAACCCTAACCCTAAATAATCCCTTTAATTAAATATTAACTCTATTTATATAATACCCTTAACTAAAAAATTAGGGTATTACCGATTAAGCAGATGTAGAACACAAGTATCCAAATATATTCAAAAAGGAAAAACATAACTGGGTAACATATCAGGTTATAACCAACCGAACCATGAGTGGACATAAATTAAAAAAAGAAAAAGAAAAAGAGGTAAAGGAGAGACTAGCAAGATACAAGAAACCACTAAGCAAAGAATTTATGTTTTATGTAAAATGTTTACCTTCTGCTTACCCCATTTCTTTTGAATGTAGGTTCTTTGCTAGAACTACAATCTTGGGACTCGATGACACATTTTTTGCTTGATTTGGAGCTTGCGCTAGTTTCTTTCTGATTTAGGTATAAATGCATAATAGTAAGTAATTGCAACAAGAATCACAAAAAATGCAACTTTCCAAAACAGCGCAAGAAAAAAACCAGTAGCAACAAAGGATGTTCTTGATTTAATATCATAGGCAAAACAAAAGTACATTACATGTTAGGCAAGACAGCTGTGAGGAACTCACTTGAGCAAACGATGTTGAAAGCAAACTCTGTTCCCCAAAATTTGTTCTTTCAAAATAATTAAACAGCAAGTCAGATATATCAACAACCTACAAAAAATTACAGCACAATGAAGCACATGTTGCAAAAACTTCAAAAATATATCTCTAGCATCGGGCGGCATACTTAGAGTAATCGAGGCTAAGAAACAGATAATAACTTGGGGAATACAACTTATAACAAGAGTTGCATGAGAACATGAATAAAGTCCTCCTTCCCCACAGATAGCAACAACATCCTATTACAGGATTCCGCAGCAGCCCTATGGTGAGAAACACCAACGTTGCCAAACCCAAATAGTTGGCACATAATGCCTTTTTTCACATACATAGCAAAATTGTTGTTTAGCAGTTAGGAGTCAGAAAAGTCTTCAAAAGAAAGAATTTAAAAATAACTAACATGTTTTGGTTAGAAAATTCACAAGATCATAGCCTCGTGGCAAGAGCCAAACTCACATAAGAACATAAATTAATGAAATAAATCAAAAAGAAGAAGAATTAATCTATTACGATGAATTTATAAGAAATCATTTAAAATTAAAAATAAAACCATGAAATTTCATTATAAGATTATGCAGCAGAAGGGTAGTCTATTTACATCGTTAGGATTATAAGATCAACTTCTCCAAGTGAAAAAAAAATTAACAAAAGCTTTCATCAAAATAAAGATTTAAAATTTTATCTAATTGACTCCATCAAAGCCCTTAGTGAAGTTAAAATCATATGACAGCAAAGTCTTTCTCCTTTGGGTTCTCAACTACATAAGGCCAATCTTTGTAAAGCAATTTTTTCAAGAATCTCCAAATGGTATGGTTTTGCCACCATGTTCTGCCAGAGCCATTTTGATGACCCTAAATCTCTCAAATTTGAGAACTATTACATCGCATCTATAATTGATCCCAATTTCATTAAATAACAGGCATATTGTTCGATAATGACACTCCACAACCTAAGGTATCAAGGCTAAACTTTAAGTTATTATCTATTGTTTTCATTTATTTGTAAAATTGACTGGCACATTAACTAAATTGATCAACTGTTTTGCAAAGGCCTGAGTTGAGGACATAAAAGGGCCAATTCATTAAATTTTATAAGGCCAAACAACCTCTCAGTTAACGATTACTTTCTCCTCCTGATGCATGCATATTCATTTAATAACCTTGCTTTTTTACAAAAAAAGTAATCCAACAACATTTTCTCAAAAGTATCTACCAGGGAAAACTACAGATACCTCCGACTCATCTACTAACACCAAGTGCATTTTTAATGTCACCTATATTTAAATGTTCAATGAAACAGATGTCAAGTTTTTGCAACTATTTCCCATATCCCAAGGATCCCCTCAAAACGCTGGTCTCTCTTTATCTTCTCTGCCAAAGGGAGTGCCGAAAGAAACCAAGATAGTGCTCACAAAGGACGATCTAGTCTGTAAATGATTTGTCAATGAAAGAACCACATCACAAAACTAATGGCATGACATTGTAACAGATAGAAAATTCAGTGTTTTAAAGAGATGTCAAATCAAAAAATTTGAGGAAACACTCTGTTTACAGTTTCTAATTCATGTGTAGCAATTTCCTATAGTTGCTTACCTCAACCCATTCAGCTCGAAATTCACAAAACGGTGCTCGATACAGCTTTATACGACCTTCACTAGTGCAAACAGCCAACAAACATCTGCAAATGATTCACGGAGAACAAACAATGTCTTCAAAAACACCCAAAAAAAATAAACAACTATGCTTGGACGATAAGCACTAGATGTTAGCCATGAGCAATAACTTTGTGCCACCATATAATAAATTTAGAGAAACAAGTTTGCATATTGGAGGCATTGATTAGTGCAGTTGGATTGATGGAAATCTGTGCAACATCATGGATATGAGTTTAGCAAAACACCCTACCCTGAATTAGAAGCAAACCCTGGTTGGGACCATGAAATGGATCGAGCACATGGACGAGTGTCACGTGACAAGCAAGTAGGCATCAGACATGGAGTCAAAAGATCTGCAAATATTTCCATAGGCTCATAAATCAGGAAGCAAATCACATAAAAAAGAGTTGCCTAAACATGAGCATAATCCAGGAAGCAACTGAATACAGATCTTAAAGCTTACATCAAGGACTACAGGACAGCTTACTAGAAAATTATGTCTTTGCTGGACCTGCCTAGCCAAAGCCATAAAGTTTCCATATTGCAAAGACAGACCATCTAGAGGCACTTCTAAAAATAATATCAAACAAAAATACAGGCATAAAGTTGGACAAAGAATTCCAATACTATAAAAGAATTCCTGAACAATAGTATCATATATACTTGATTAGATATTTGAACCAGGTAACCAAATTTTTTCCTTCCTTCCAACTTAATTGGATGGATGAAGGCCAACATAAGACAAATTACTCATTTTAGTACTTCTAATCCTACTATAAGTTATATTAGGAATCAACTCTGTAGTTGGTTAAGGCATCAATGTTAGTAATTGAATATCTTATAAGCTGATTGTCACCTTAGAAAATTAAGGAATTAAAAAGAGCTCCATAGATACTATTTGATGAAGACAAACTGCAAGGGTAGCACATCAAAACCATTTTCTATATTTTATATCATTAGCGTGTGGGCATGCAAATTGGTAGCTATAATAATCTGAAGATGATCACATGGATTAAAGAGAAGAAATAATTAAAGAAAACTTACCTTCTCTTCTTACGAAGCCTATTGGAAATGGCTTGTTGGGTGAAAGAGTAATCAATCCTCTAGGACCATCAAGCAAAGCAGGATTCTGAGGAATTAAAATGAAGAAATGAATTGATGAATGTGATAAACTATAACCATCTCCCTACCATCCACCAAAAAGAAAAAGGTAGGCCCATCATTATAATTAACAAAAGAAAAGACACATGACACCTACAACTATAGTGACGATATGTCCCGAAGCAACAGCCACCAAGTTTTCATTTGACCATGCAATGGAGTTTGGATATGACGGAGAAGCAACCAGGGGAACAGCCTGCCAGTGTGAAGCCATAGCACGTGACACCTGAAAACAGGAATACAAAATGACATAAAAAGGAGCAAAGGATACAAAAAAAGAGGATAAATAGCTTCATATGTGCATCTGCAAAGCAAATAATTAAAGATAGCTGACTTCTACAAGCACTTTTCCTTCTCAACAAGTCTATACCATGGGCAAATTCATAATCTGGTTCTACCGTTCTCGACGTCCTTATACCATTAGCAAACTTGAACAGAGAACCGTGCTTCTGGGAGGCTGGGGATATATTAATTAGGATCTTATATCGATCAGTGTCCTCTAGGGAGAAGTTTAGCACATTGAAATATCAACTTGCTTGGGAAGTAGTTAAAGCCGATGAGAGAAGAGGAGGATCGCGACGGAGGTTCCAGATCCACGGCCAATAGAGGAGAGGATGGAGGGGAGCGAGGGGACGCCAAAAAGGGCGGAGCACGGTGGCAGCGGCTCTACGCCACGGAGAGAGAGAGAGACGTCTAACCTCTTGACAACAACCGGTCAGGCGACTTCTGGTGCTCCGAAGGAGGCAGCGGTCTTTCGCCGGTCGGTTATCGGAGAGAAACAACCGCCGGGAAACGATTGGCCATAGGACAAAGGAAGGCGGTGGGGCTCTTCGCGTAGGCACGAGGGAATAGGCGTGAAGCGAGTCCGTTTAGGGTTTTTCAAACAATGACACGGCCAACTCGGTTCGACTCGTACGAGCTAACCGAATTCCCGAGTCAACTACTCAGTCAGGTCAGATAACCCGAGTCAACTCGATCGGATGAATCTGGACCGTCAGATCATGAAGACAATAAATTACCGTGGTTGGACGTCCCGTTGACTTGGCACTAAAAATATTAGAGGTCGGTAATACCCAAATAATTCAAAAAGAAGAAGATATAATAAATAAAAATATATCAAATACACTAAATTAATTTCTTATTCGCTACCATCATGTAATTCGATGGCACATATAAAGATCAATCGTATGCTAACCTAATTTTATTAGCCGAAACGATCTTCAAATTATTTTCTATATAAGTAACATGTGGTTGCAATATATGATAGATTAAGAATCCATACCTATCTCGCTCGGCGATCTTGCTGCTATATCCTTGAATGATTGATGTAAGACGATCGCATGAGAATTTATAGGAGTTGAATGACTCTAAAAATCTATTTCTATCGAAATTAGGATTCAATTAGGAGTATAACACAAATAAACTAGAATTATTTTTCATATTATTATTATTTTAATAATATTTTATTTTCATCGATATTTATTATGAGAAAATATCATTGACGACTTAATCAGTCCAATATGATCTATACCTATATTTATAGGATTGTCAATATGCCATATACATAAAGATCATGGTTATAAGAGATTTCATGATTCGATTCTTTCGATGTCCAAGTTAGTTTCCTGAGATATGTGCATATAAATATAACGGTCAAAAAAGATCATTTATGACTATGTCAAAAATAAAATTTTATATCTAATTATAAAAAAATATATATAAAGAAATAATCCTCGTATTGGCCTTTTCTCCACTTGAATGTTAAAGAGGAGACTATCTACCTTGATCCCTTGTCTACGTGGGCAAATCACGATAGAGAATTGCTTTTATCTCCTTCTTCCGATCTAAACATCACGTAAAGATCACATGTTAAATAATGATTGGGCAACGATATTCTTCCTATAAGTACCAAACTAATATTTTAAATATAAAAAATTATAGAATAAAATTTGAATATTATTTTTTAATAATTTCTTGATTGAGAATTGTTTCTACTGTTCTATCGAGAGCTCATAAGGATAATGGAGGAGGAGGTTTCTACGTTATTAGACCAAAAGCCACAAGTCATGCTAATTTCTGCAGTGTTCATAAAGCAAAGGCTATCAAAAACTGGTTTTAGCCATTCACAAGCAAAGGAGGCTTCTAAATTATTAGGGCGGTGCCAAAGTCAGAGATTACATGCATCGATCAAGATTCGAGCCACTTCATTCTGCAATCATACATGACTTGATTCAGCCATTCATATCCAATGCCAGTGTGGAAGATTTGTTGTTCCATCTATCAATCTCAAAAGGATGATGAAAAGAAGCAACCCTCTCTCCTCCTTCCGCTTGAAGCTTGCAAGGAATCACCGCCAGCACTAACAAGGTTTGATTCATACAGCCCAGACCAACATGAAAAGTAACATTAAGTTTCTTGCCATAGTTTGGCTCGATTGATTCTATTCAACGTTAGGCTGTTGTTCTCCATCTCGGACAATGATAAGCTCAATAGATAGATACCCTTCCCATCTTCTCCAACCAGGTGAGAGAAAAGCACGAGGCATTGCTGCTGTAGCTCATTTACAAAAAGCTTTATTCTTAGTCCTGAAACAACACTTTACATTTGATCATCATGTCATGCTTGCTATCTGGAATAGTCTGGTTCTCTCAACATCAAGAGCTGTACACGCCGTTGCCTACTTGCGACAGCACACCAACAACGGGCAGAAAAGATGAGAGGCGTGTAGCGTCCGGACCACCTCAACCGGAGCAAGGAAGAGATGGTGAGTTGGGTTCAGAGTTGGACGGAGGAATCCTTTCTTGACTCCACACATGGGTTTACGACCGTTCATAAAGGAGGTGGCGAAAAAGCTGCTTTGGATCGCTTTCCAAGGACGCACATAGGCAGCGACGCAGGCGGAAAACTATTAGGCGAATGAATAGTTAATTGGGCTTGAAATGAGATACTGTATACTTAAGTACAACATCACCCTACCTGCCTGTTTCGGAGTCTTCTTTTGTTGTCCACAGCTTCCTCTACTTCTCCCTTGCCCTCTCTCTCTCTCTCTCTCTCTGTCTCCAGAGACTTGTGCTTCTTTCCCTGTCATGGCTGCTCTAGCTTTTGCAGTTCTCATGTTGGCCATGATCGGTGGATCAGGTATGCTGTACTTCCTTTCGACACTCATCTCTAAGGAATTATTTATAACATTTTTTTTCCTTTTTTGAGATCGGGACTTATATTCTGGCCTTTTGCTCTGTGTTTTATTTTCTTTCTTGAATATTTGGTGTCTTTGATGATGCTCCAAGATCTACGAGCTCTTTCCTCTACCATGGCTTTCTCTTAGAAGTTCTTCTTTGGGTTAAAAAAGGACGGAAAAGAATTCCACACTGTTTCTGTTTACTCTCGAAATTTCTCTGCTTTCTTAAAGAAAAATCTTTGGTTATTGAAGTTGTTGCAGCAAGATGTTAATCTCCAAAGAACACACAGATGCCTGGTTTCCTTTTGTTTTTAGCTATGCGGCCAAAAGGTGGCTTCTTTTGGTGATGGTAATATTTTCTCAGTTTCTTTAGAGAAGATTTCAGGTTGGACTATCATGATTTCTCAATCTTTTTGGAGGAGCGTTGTTGCGTCTCTCTCCCCATATTCCACAAATTAACATGGTAAATGATGATGATGACCTGACGGTCTTCTTTTGTGGTGGCAGAGGGTGCTTGGTGTATCTGTAAGCCTGAGCTGGGTGACACTGCTCTGCAGAAGACACTGGACTATGCTTGTGGAGCTGGGGCTGACTGCACCCCCATCCTCCAAAATGGAGCTTGTTACAGTCCCAACACAGTGAAAGACCATTGCTCGTATGCTGTGAACAGTTACTACCAGAGGAAGGGGCAGACACAACAGGCTTGTGATTTCTCAAGCACTGCTACTCTTACTACCACGGATCCTAGTGAGTTCCTAACCCTTGTAAACCTCTGTGCATGAACAACACCTTTGTCCATGTAAACTGGAGACTAATCTTGATGCAATTGCCTGTAGGTAAGAATGGTTGCACTTACCCTGCAACTCCCAGGTATACATGTATATATATGTCTGAGTAAAGTATACATCCAACATCATGTTTGATCCCACTCGCTTCTCTTCCTCCCAGCGCTGCAGGCACAAGCAATTCTACACCAGCAACAAGCACCCCGGGCACAAGTCCCGGCACCTTCACTCCAACCACCGGAGGACTGAGTGGATTAGGGCCCACGAGCAGCATTTCCACCGACAATATCAATGGTGGTTTCCTCCCAAAGGCAGGGATGGATTCCCTCCTCCTCCTCCTCCTGATTGCCATTTGCTCAGGGATGGGTTTGTTGGGTTGATGAACAGCTGTAGTGGAAGTCAGATGCTGAGTATTTATTGAGAGCTGATGGCTGTGCAAAAAGTTGGGTGATCCCGTTGTTGTAAAATGGTTTGATCCAGAGACATTTCTCATCTATTCCATGTTCCTTCTTTCCCAAGTGGACAGAAGAATCGATTCCATTTTGAGTGCTAGGGTGGATTCTTCTCGCTTCTCCTTCTCCTTCCATGTGAACCAGGGTGGCAGAAAGAAACTATACTACTTGACACATGCTTTCTCTGTTATTTCATCCTAATACTATCAAACGATGGAACGGAGGGAGAGCAGCTACATGAAGTGAAGTGAAGCAGCACAAGAAGAGAAACCTCAAGCATCCCTATTTGGATGCAATTTTTAACCCGCTGCACCTCAAATCATTGAGTTCGTTGGTGTCGTATGGGAATGATTGATTGGGTTGTGGAAAGCTTCTTTGGGCGGAAGAAGGAAGACGTGGACGTGGCGGTGGTTGCAATGTCAAGAGAGAAGACGAATGGCCAGGATGGATTGGCCATGCTGAGAATAATTAATACTGTCAATTCCCGGTGATACAGATGTGATTGACTAAACTTGGGCTTCAGCTCTTAAAGATAAGGCAACTTGAAAGGTTTAGTTGCTGGGCACAAGCAACATGACATGGATAGTTTCTTGTCGTGATTTCTCTCCCAAAACATTTCGTTGGAATAGAATACATATTTAGTACATATGAAAAGAAAATTGGGGATAATGTATCTTAAAAATTATTTCTATAATTGTAATATCCCTAATTAGTCCCACATTAAAAATGTGGACAGGATTAAGATCCACTTAGAAGGGTTACGTTGGGATTTAATGAGGATGTCAAACCTTTGAGTGGGATGATTGTAACACTTTTGATTATAAAGGTATGATGAGTGTATTACTACCAATCAAACAAAGTTGATAGGCCAGTTAACCCATCAAACCCAGGTCATGACAAAAATAGTTTAGACGATTTTATTAAAAAATTAAAATTTTAAGATGAGTTTAGAGAAAAAAAAATCCTAAGAATTTTCTAAATAGCATCCTTGAATAATTTATTTTTTAAAATAAATATTTTGCCCTCCTTAGTCATTATCATTCGTTTCGTCAATCACCCCTTTTTCATCGCACCGATGACCCCCCTTCGTTAGACCCATATAATAATGGAGGTTACGAGTGAAGGTGGGTCGCCTCCCCTCCTTCCTCATCGGTGGTCAACGACGAGGAAGGGGCACGAGGAGGCTACACCGCTCCTTTATACCCAGCGACGAAGGCTATGGACAAGGGCAAGTCATGTCCACTCCTTCCTTGCATGTGACCGATGGTAAAAGATATTGCAAGTGATACTGATAGCGATGGTTGCGAGGTCCAATGGGGTTTGGCAAAAAGACTCGCTAAAAAATAAGGATAGTTGGTGGGCAAAAGTAACGACGATTCTAATGAAGGTACCAGTAAAATGATCTTTTAATATGATTAGAGTTACTTTTATGAAAAAATTTTAAAGTTAGGGTATTCTATGAAAAATTCTTAAATTCAAACATTTTTTTTCAAAAAATTACCCAACTTTTTATTCAACAAAGCCATGTCTTTATTGAAAAATTATTGATTTTATTCAAGTTTTAGCCTCCATTCAAAACTGTTTTTTTATTTAATTCTTTAAATCAGTTTACTAAATCGATTTAGTTCATTGAATTGATTCACTAAATCGACTAGACTCTAAATCGGTTATCCTTCTCTTTTAACGACGTTCCTTTTTTTTTTTCTCCCTCACCTTTTCAAGCTAAAAAAAGAAAGAAGAAAAAATTAAATTGAATTGGTCTTCGGTTTAATCAAAATTAATATAAAAACTACCTAATAATCCTAAAAGTTCAAGGGTATATTTATCCATTCATGAAAATATTTTTGGATAAATTCTAAAGATTACTATTTACAACCCTAACTTTACCGTTTACCATCTTATTTTAACAAATTTTAATATAAATAAATTGTCCCTTTATAAATGTGCCAATATTCTTCTATTCTTTCTCCTCTTTTTCTTCTATTATTTTCGTCTCCTCCTTTTCATAATTATCATCTTCTTATTCTCCTCCTTTTCCTTAGACAACAAAGTCGAGAGGAATGGCATAAGTAAAAAATCAATGACAATAACTTTCTCCTCTTTCGCACATAGTAGAGTCGATGGTATAAGTGAAAGATCAACGACAAGCGGGTCAGTTGGGGTTGATGATCGGTGACAATGGTTTTCATTTCTTTTGTAACCAATAGAGCCAGTGATGATGTAAGTGAAAGATTGGTGGCAAGAGGGCAGGCTGCGGTTGATGGTCGATAAGGCTTTCTCTTATTCCGTAGCTAGTGAAGCTGGTGATGTCATCAATAGAAGATCGACGATAGGCGAGGTAGGCTGGGGAAGACGATCACAACAATGACTTCTTCCTTTTGTAGCCAGTATAGCTAGCAGTGACGATATCAATGGAAGATTATCAGTAAATGGGTAAGCTCAAGGTGACGATCGATCACAATGAACAGTGATGGCAAGGTTGGGGGTGCTTCAATTTTCAGGAAGAAAAAAGAAGAAGAAGAAGAAGATTAAAATAAAATTAGAGAGGTTACGAGGAGTAAATTATTATTATTATTAATCTAAGGGATAATTAATAGTAAGTATGTGGTTTTAAATAATAAGCTCTTAAATTCTCAATAGAAAGGTGTGTGCTCCGTTAAAACTAATTCATGAGAACTTTATATATATATATATATATATATATATATATATATATATATATATATATATATATATATATATATATATATATATATATATATATATAAATTAAAAAAATCAATTCGAATCGTTTTAGAGTAATGAGAAACTTGGATGCCAGTCATATATTTATATTGTCACATGACAACATTAAATAGATAACAAGTAACATAAAGAAATAAATGAAGCAAAATAGAAAAGAAATGAAGATTAACGTATATAAAGATGAAAATTATTTGACAATGTAATTATGAAAAATCATCTTAAAAAAAAAACGACCGAACACAATACCTTATTAATTATTATGTTTCTTTTTGTATTTGGGTTCATATAAAAAGGCCAGAAATTGTAATGAGAAGACAACTTTTGAACGGATAAGTAGGCCCCAGAATCGTCCGCGAAGGAGACAGAACTACTCATGGCATTCTTCTTGATCTAAGTAGTAAGCCTCGAATTATAGTGTTCGTACTTTATTGCTTAAGTTAAAAGATTTCTATTTTGTTAGTCTCCCTCCCTCTTTTGGTTTTATTTTTTTTTTTGCATCTATTGCCTATGTTTTCACCCAATTCTCATCAAATTAATTTCAAGAACACTGAAAATAGTGTCAATTAAAGAAGAAGAAATATAATTATATAATTATATATATTTTTTATATTTATGCTTTGCATAATCATTCTCTCATATCGAGTCAACGTCTCAATTAGGATGGCATAAGAGTTTGCAATCTGTTTTCATGACTTCATCGACCGTATAACAATAGAACATAAAGGGATTCGGTCCAATTAGAGATACGACTTGGGCCACGAATGAGTACTCTGGTCGTGGAGGAAACGTGCTCGCCAACTCGCGCATCTTGACCGTCCAAACGCACGTTCTCGCATCGTCAGCCGTGGATCTGACCCGACCTACTTGCTCTTAAAATACGAAAACCCTCATAAACAAACCACGTCATCGTTTTCCATGCTCCGACATCCAGCAAATATTTGGGGTTACGGAATTAAGATGCCCTGCAATCGCGTTTGCAACGGTGTCTTGACAACTAATCGTATGTCGTCCACAATAACGCCGTCCCGTCAACATTGACGTTTAGATAACGAAAATGAGTCGTCACCTAGCACGGCCATTTGTGCAGCAGATCCCGTGGTCAAGAAGCTCATCGCCTTAAAACACCCGAATTCGATCCCTGGCGACGTCCTGACTTGTTCGAGTTGCTTGATTCAGTACGGTTCTCGCTTGGCTCAATTCCAAGCATTCGAATGTTTATCTCTTGTTTTCGTCTTCTGGAAGCGTTATTGATTATTCGTCATTTCTCAGCTTCTTTTCTTTGGATTTTGGGTGAAATTTCGAGTCGGCGACTTGTTTTCTTCCTCCAGAACAGAATCTTTTTTTTGGTGTTTTGTGGGTTTTTGATTTGATTCTGTAGATTCCTTCCCAGTCCTTGCGGAGTTGGTTGATGTGGATTGGCTAACATGTTCCTTAATTTTAGATTTTTATTGAATATTATTTCTTCTCGAGGAATTATGGTCTCGGAAATGAATTGTATGTATATCTAATGGTTGTTTCGATATGATTTCGGGGGTTTCCCTTGTTGTTACTCGATGTTTCTTTGGGGGAAAAGATCTAATCTATGAGTTGAGTTATTTGATCAAAAGATCTAATCTATGTTTCTTTGGTTTTGTGTGTTGAAAATTCATCATGAAACATATTTGAGATTTGTTAGTTTACGACTTTCGGTGGTGGATATTTGATTCTGAGGTCTGGTTCTTGAAATATCTGCTTATTTATTGGCATGGTAATGGTTGAAAATTCGTCATGAAACCTTCGTTTATTTGAGATATGTTAGTTTA